AGGACACCCACCTTATGAAGAGTTGCCAGAGTTCGTGAAAGTGCTATCTGAAAGGATGGATGATATTCACTATCAAGTGCGTTCAAACTTGAAAACGTCGGCTGATTCAATAAAACTATCTTATGATAAGAGATATACTGAAGTCAGCTTTGTACCAGGAGACAAGGTGTGGTTGTATAATCCCAGGAAGACCAAAGGGAAGTCTCCTAAGTTGTCTTCACCATGGGAAGGCCCATATGACATAGTGGATCGTCTCTCAGACGTGACTTTCCAGATAAAATGTGGTCGGCGAGGTAAGCCAAAAGTGGTGCATGCAAACAGGCTTTGGCGTTATCACGGTCCAGGACATTTCAGTTGGGACGACGTGGAAAACAGAACAAATGACGCTGCTGAAGACGTGCCACATGAAGAAGCCACCGTCGAAGAAGAAACTCTACTCAGTTTTGAGAAGTGAAACGGTGAAGCTCTTGATGAAGTTACTACCACTGATGTGACTGTTACCGACGATAGGACATTTCCTGATGAAGCAGATGAACCCCACGTGAAGCAGAAGCCAACAAGACGGAGACCAGTACGGAAGAAAATACGTCCCGTAAAATTAAGAAACTTTGTTGAATTGTAATTTTGTGTTTGTAATTCTGTACATTTAATTAAGTTATTGTTAATTGTTATTGGTTTATTGTATGTGGTTATTGTTCGGGACGAACAATATTAAGGAGAGGCAGTGTTGCGTCAGCGAGGTCACGTGACTAGTGTCACGCCCCCTGCTTTCTGGAAATATCTTGTACCTTCGTGAATTATCGGGAGATTACTAGATATAGGGTAGTCTGGTATATATAAGAGGGTGACAACGTGACGGGACAATAGTATGTGTGTAGGTAGTGAGTAATTAATCTGCAGTCACAGGGTATTGTTGAAGTTAACGTTCGTTCGTTATAGTGTTTGTTTTAGCGCGAATGTTGAAATTAAGTGTATCGTAAAGTTATATTCGGAAAGATTAAACCAGTTTTATTAAGTAAGGACTTGTGTCGCTAAAGTTTCGTCGGAACGAAGTTACGGAAAATTAATTAACAAACGGAGACGTAACATACTTAAATAGAACTCTTGAGCCTTTTTACCGTATTCGAGACCAGGAAGTATAAAACATACTGCGGACATTCCGACACAAATTTTCAACTATTTCGATTGTACAAAAAATAAAATATATTTGGTAGTAATAAACGTTTATTTTTCTTTATGTTTTAAGGCCAAGTAGGTAATATATGTGTTAAAATACCAAAACATTATTTATTAATTAACATTTATTCACCACTTAAAACTTTTTGAACACTGTTAGTAATAGTAGCCTATTTGTAGTCTTTCGAAATTTGGATAAGAAAAATCGACCCTAATAAGTTTTATTCTGATGTTTCAAATTTCATTTTAAAAACCCAACTCTGTAAGGCACTTGCAATATTATAAAAAATTCACATAGTTGCTAGTAGTAACCGTCAAACTAACAAGGTATATATATTTTTATGGGATGTTTAACAATAGAATTTCAGATAGGGTTTCCAATGAGTTTTGTAGAAAATGAATGATTTCAATTAATGTTTGATCATTTCTTTACTCTGAATGGTTCTCCAGTTGGTCAGCGGGAAGTATATAAACTTACAAAGCTCAAATCTAGGGTTGGATTCCACGTGGTAGAAAGAGCACAAATAGCCTATAACAGCCATACTCTTGAGTTCCCCTGTGGTAAGTCACAAGAAAGTGTTTTTCTATACACGTGGTGGGCAGAGCACAGATAGCCCATTGTGTTAGCTTTATGCTTAACTACAAACAAACAAACCATACTCCTGAATGTTGTGACAGACACAAACATAATTTTTTTCAAATGATGCCATGTGTGGGTCCCACCAGTCGCTAACAGTGTAAAAAATAAGTCAGTAATATGAAGGTTAACGTATTAAAGAAGAAGATATTCAGAAGACCTCAAATTGCTTTAAAAATCACGAATAACGTGGATACATAGTTTATTTCGTTTCAAAATTCAGCACGTTTATTTTCTACAATGGTTCAGATATGAAATAACGACCAACATTATATTTTCTTAAATTGAACAACAAGTAAAATCAGTGATTATCCCAAAATACATTTGTGTCAAAAATATCCGGATAGATTTAATGAGTTCATTGTTTTGAATTTATTAAATATTTGTTAAACCATTTTATTATAAGTGAAGAGAATTTAATTATTGTAATTAGTGCAAAATATTGAAGTACATTTCTGTACACATATTTGTACAAATTATTTAAGAATTGCATCAAAATACCCATCTGTACAAGCATGGAACGTCCGCCGATTAGACCTCCTACCTAAGCTACCATTTATAATTGACCAGTACATGAGATACACCAGCTATGCTGGCCAGCAAAAGTCCACACAATGCAAAAAAAAAAACTTCTCTGTTTATCTCATAATTTTGAATCAGCAACTTCTCCAGGTTCTTTAAGAGCTGATTTTCTCTGTTCAATGGAGTTAGCTAACTTTCGCCTAGGCCCGAGAGGAAGGCCTAGGTTCTTCAGGTCCTCGTCTGTAAGGAGCATTAAAGACTCCAGGTCGATCTTCTCCTTAGTAAAGAGAGGGATGTAGTTGTTTAGCCCACTAGCTGCCAGGAATAGGATGATAGGTGCGGTATCTGTTTCATCATCATCCAAGTTCAGTTCATCTTCATCCCAGGGAGTCTTCCGGTTTCTGTGCGCCAAACTTCCCGCACTCCCGATGCTGTCACTTCCGCTACCATGACGCATGTGGGAGCCGTTGTCACTGTCGCAATCTTCCCCTTCTCCAAATCCATTTTTGTATTTAGGAAGCGTCAGCAACGCTCCTGAAATGGAATTTCTAAAAGCAACACTTCCAAATCCCGGTCTTTCGAAAATACTTGGGGGTTCGGCCAATGCCACCTCTTCGTCTATTCCAGAATCCCCCGTGTATAGCAGGTCAGGTTCACTGATAGCACGTGACAAGTGATCACCATTCTTATTGAACACATCTTTCATGTGTTTCCGTTGACTGCCAGACGACATGCTTTGGGAATCATATTTTGGAACATACATCACCTCAGAATCTCTTTGAAATCCAGACAGTGATCGTACTGACTGCTTGCCACCAGTTTCCAGTTCTCTGACCTTGAAGTCGCCACCAGTCACCTGTTTCTTCTGCTGGACCTTTCTGGACACCGCACCTAGACCTTTCTTCAGGCTTATGCTAGAGTTGTTCTGGTTGCTGTTCACGATTTCCGAATATTTGGGAGAACTGATGTATAAGAGCCTGGAGTCTTTCCGGAGGGACTGACCAATTCCAGCTACGGAAGAGCGGGGTCCAGTGCTATGCACCTGAATCTCGGCCCCAGACATTCTCTGTCTCTGCCGTTCCAGCTGTTTTTCGGACTTCTCTGCTTGTTTGGTTGCCTTCTTCTGGATCTTCTGGAAGTGCTTCACCCGTTTCTCGGCATCTCGTACCGACTTTTCCTGCATTTTCTGGGTGGTTTTAGGATTTTCTGTGCTCTGCCGACTAAGTACTTGATCCAGGAACTTAAGAATTTCATTCCTTTGGTTAACAGCTGCCACGTCCTTTGCTGTGTGGAAGTCATTGTCCATCGCCCACAAGTTGACCCCAAAGTTCACAAGAAAGGACACACAATTCATGTGGCCGTTAGCAGTAGCGCAGTGGAGAGCAGTATTACCAAAGTAATCACACTTGTCTGGATCACCCCTGAAAAAGAATGATTGAAATAAGTAAAATAGTCGATAAACCTATTCTAAATTTAACACAGATCATAAATTGGACAGCAATATGCATGAACACGTAAACGTTTTCAGTAAAATCTAATTCTGCTAAATAGTGTGTAAACATATCAGGAAAAAAAAATGTCGAACTAAGAAATGAAAACAAAAATAAATACAATTCCATTTGATGAAGTATTTATGAAGTTTAGGTATAAAAGGCGAGCGAGAAGTGTAATTAAACTAAAAAACAGGTTTGGTAGTGAATAAATTTGTGCATCAAACAATGTATAAAAGGAACCTGTTGAAGAGTTTATTTCCGAGAAGAATGATAGTTCAACCATATTATACTTACCATATCCATTACACAAGTTGGAATACAATAAACTTATATATTAGTGGTCGGAACGCTATTTATATAATGTCAATTATTATTATTTAGTTTCCTGCCAGTATTACAAATATAATATCCTCAATAATTCAGTTTTGGTCAAGAAGAAATGCCAAAGGAACTCTACATTTGGCAAGTAAATAAGGCACGAAAATTGCGCTGAAAGTAAACTGCCTTGTTATTAGGGTAACTTAGAAAAAAAATGGATTTTAGAAAATATTTATTGTTTATTTCAAACGTGATTGTACATATATTTTGTGCGTTGTACTAAAACTATCTTGAACCTTCACCATGGTATTACTGTCCATGTCTAGCCATGCTGTATCTGACAGCCGTGCATCTGGACAATAGCCCTGCAAGAATGTCGTCTATAAAGCACACCCCTCCTCCCTAAAAGCCCCCAAGTGGCACAGCGATATGTCTGCGGACTTACAACGCTAGAAACCGGGTTTCGATACACGTGGTGAGCAGAGCACAGATAGTCCATTGTGTAGTTTGTGCTTAACTTCAAACAAACAATCCTCCCTAAAAATTTCCAAAACCAATCGAAGATGACGATTTCAAGCATCCATTTCAACAGTCCAGTCCCACACTAATCCATATGCGTTACACCTAACGAGTTGACCGATATACCTGGCGAGTTGGCCAATACGTCATATCTTTGTGTGGAATAGCATAAATGACTGTGTCATTCTGTAGATACTTGAGATATGCGAAGCTCGAACAAGCAAGTCGTGGAAGTAGTTTATGTGTTGCTTTTCTTTATTGATAGCGTTGTGTGCTGTTACCTAGGGCACACAGATAACTTTTAGAACTAACTTTTATGTTAGTGGATTATTTATTATCTGTAACAAAACGCTACACTTTGCTGCGGTAGAACTTGCTGCAGATCTCTTTCTAGATGGTCCTGGTTCCTCAAGTTGATCTTTATTCCTTGCCATTAAGAACAAGGAATATTCCCGTAATTGAAATTACAAATACCCAAACTAAACACATCTTTATGATATGAGTGTATGAATACTTTCAGTCTAAAAGGGTTACTAAATACCATTCCCAAAAGTAATAACTTTTCAGTGGCATCATACTAGCTATCAAACATCAAACAATGTTGAAGTGTAGTTCTGATGCATTCCGTTCCACAAATTTTATACTGAATATGGTTTGCAAGTGACTTGAATATTTTCATATTCGTTTTAATTAATATATTCAACCCTCTGTAGCATCGTGTAGTCAGTTACATGTCCTAGCGACTTATCCACTGTACCATCTAGCATCTGTGTAGTCAGCTACATGTCCAAGTGACTTATCCACTGTACCATGTAGCATCTGTGTAGTCGGCTACATGTCCTAGTGACTTATCCTCTGTACCATGTAGCATCTGTGTAGTCGGCTACATGTCCTAGTGACTTATCTATTGTACCATGTAGCATCTGTGTAGTCAGCTACATGTCCTAGTGACTTATCTATTGTACCATGTAGCATCTGTGTAGTCAGCTACATGTCCTAGTGACTTATCTATTGTACCATGTAGCATCTGTGTTATCAGCTACATGTCCTAGTGACTTATCTACTGTACCATGTAACATCTGTGTAGTCAACTACATGTCCTAGTGACTTATCCTCTGTACCATGTAGCATCTGTGTAGTCAGCTACATGTCCTAGTGACTTATCCACTGTACCATGTAGCATCTGTGTAGTCGGCTACATGTCCTACTGACTTATCTACTGTACCATGTAGCATCTGTGTAGTCGGCTACATGTCCTAGTGACTTATCTACTGTACCATGTAGCATCTGTGTAATCAGCTAAATGTCCTACTGACTTATCTACTGTACCATGTAGCATCTGTGTAGTCATGTACAGTAGATAAGTCAGTAGGACATGTAGTTGACTACACAGATGCTACATGGTACAGTGGATAAGTCGCTAGGACATGTAGTTGACTACACAGATGCTACATGGTACGGTGGATAAGTCACTAGGACATGTAGCTGATTACACAGATGCTACATGGTACAGTGGATAAGTCGCTAGGACATGTAGCCGACTACACAGATGTTACATGGTACAGTGGATAAGTCAGTAGGACATGTAGCCGACTACACAGATGCTACATGGTACAGTGGATAAGTCAGTAGGACATGTAGCCGACTACACAGATGTTACATGGTACAGTGGATAAGTCAGTAGGACATGTAGCCGACTACACAGATGTTACATGGTACGGTGGATAAGTCAGTAGGACATGTAGTTGACTACACAGATGCTACAAGGTACAGTAGGACATGTAGCTGTAGCATCTGTGTAGTCGGCTACATGTCCTACTGACTTATCCACTGTACCATGTAGCATCTGTGTAGTCGGCTACATGTCCTACTGACTTATCCACCGTACCATGTAGCATCTGTGTAGTCGGCTACATGTCCTAGTGACTTATCCACTGTACCTTGTAGCATCTGTGTAGTCAACTACATGTCCTAGTGACTTATCCACTGTACCATGTAGCATCTGTGTAGTCGGCTACATGTCCTAGTGACTTATCCACTGTACCATGTAACATCTGTGTAGTCAACTGCATGTCCTAGTGACTTATCTACTGTACCATGTAGCATCTGTGTAGTCAACTGCATGTCCTAGTGACTTATCCACTGTACCATGTAGCATCTGTGTAGTCGGCTACATGTCCTAGTGACTTATCCACTGTACCATGTAGCATCTGTGTAGTCGGCTACATGTCCTAGTGACTTATCCACTGTACCATGTAGCATCTGTGTAGTCA